TAGGGATATACAGACACACAGACAGATACGGGCATCCAGATAATATAGACAGGCACCCAGATGGATTCATATCTACAAACACAGACGCTGGTAGGCACAAACACACAGGGCTTGAAGAAATCAATAGTTCTGTCACTCCAGTTCTCCTACTAGCAGAGTGCTGAATCGATTAGGAGTTTAATTAACACAGCTTCTGAAATCTCACTTTCTTTTTAATTCTTACATAGCTTTAAAAACAAGAGCTAAGTATACACCTCCTGTGTGCATTGGGGTGGAGGGCTTGACAAAAATGTGAGTTGTGGGTCTCAGCAGGCCTCCCAGGGCCTTGTTCTCCTTTCCTACCTCTACCACAGCTTTGGGGTTGTGTTCGTTCTTTCCCTTCCAGGCCAGAGGTAAGGGGTATGAGTGTCTCCATTCAGAGGATGCCAGAGCTTTTCCTCGGGGAGCAGCCCCAACACACAGGTTTCCTTTGAGCCAGGTGGTGGTGCCAGGCGCTGTGATTTGGCTGTTTTCCAATCCTACCCATCCCTACCTCCCCTGCCCTGCCACCCTCCAGTATCTTCTCAGAGCTTTCAATGCAAATGGCCAACCCCTAATCTGGCACTGAAGGCTTCTCACAGTCAGGGCCTTGGTGTACCTTTCTGGCTTTCCTTATCATGGTTCCCTCTCTTCCAGAATGTACAACTCTAGAGCAGGGGACTTACTTATTGTCCCTTCGACTCCCCCACACTGGAATATGCTCTCACTGTCTTGACAAGTACAAACCCTACCCAGGGTATGACCACCTCCTCCAGGCACCTGCCCCTGATCTCCAGTGGAAAGGGGGAGTTCTCTTCTTGGAATTCCAAGCAGACCTTTACTCTAAGAAGAACACCAACTCAACTATGTTTAGTTATTTGTGCACTTGTGTCTTAGAAAATGTTCTTTTAGTTACAAGCAATAGAAATTAACTATTGGACTTGTCTGTCCACTCCCCAAGTGATCCTAGAGGTTCTCATTGAACAACTGAAGTTGCCATTGTTAACATGTCCCATGTACAATAATTCGTGTCTGTATGACCCTTGGTTCTACGTTTCACAATTTGGGGCAAGGAATTGGATTAGTGCAGCTTGGTTCAGAAGCCCACCCCTGGATCAAGCACCAATTGTTTCCAGGGGCATTTTAACACAGTCCAGACGTGGCCACAGATGGCCAGGGATCACCCCTGTGTTTGGGAGGAGGGGACTTTAGCAAAGAAGAGGGAAAAGCTGCAGCCTTGGTAGCCATCCCAAGAGGTAGCTAATGAAACTTGTCTTTATGATTGACAGAAGAGAGAGAAAAAGATGCTGGAAAGATAGTGTAACAGATATCCACTGCAAAGTGCTTATGCAGTGAATGAGTCAGTGTGCAAGTGACTTGTTCATTTGTTGCCTCTTAAAAGCCCCTAGGTCATTTTGCCTCCCATTTCTATGTCTTTAGAACACAATAACACAGTTTTTCCATCTTTAGTAACTCCTTTCCCATCGTGTCAATCTCAGGGCATTCTCTGGGTAGCTTGTGTGATGGAGGCATATGAAGTCTCTGCATAGGTACAGACTTATGGCAATAAATGCCTGACATTTGGCCACTCATCAATGGGCATACATTTTCTGAATAACTGATATATATCAGACACTGGCAATAAGCCAGGCACAAGAGACTGTTCCCCATGGGACTTGGGGAGTTCAGGCACACACACCAATTGCAGTAGAATGTTATTAGTGCCCTATTGAAGGATGCAGGGGCTCTGAGGAGGAACTCATGAGCTCTGGCTGTAGTTTTTTAGAGGAGGTAACATAAGAGCCAGGTCTTGCAGGGTGAGTAGAAACTTGCCAGGTAGAGAAGAAGAAAGGAGGATTCTATTCTGAGGGAGAACTGCGTGTTCAAGGCTGTAGAGGATTGTGGAAGAGAGTGGTATGTTAGGGAAATAGGGAGGTTGAATGTATCTGAGGTGTAGAGTGTGTTTGTGGCAGGGGCGCTAGGAGTTGGGGAAGATGGACAAGGGAGATGTGTGGGAAGGGAGACTGTGGCGATATCATGGAAGCTCTCTCATTTTAGCCTCAGGAGTTTTGACTTATCCAGGGAATGGTGGTCTGGTGGGGCTCAACTGAAGGATTTAAGCAGTGGAGAAACATATTTCAATATCTATGTAGAAAGTCCAAATACATTCTTGGGGGAATGTGAAGCATTGGGGCTTTTGAAAGTCAACGTGGCAACATCTATTGAATTACAATTCTATTCCTGGGGATCTATGCCCTAGAATTAAGGTTCTGATGTGTCAGAACATATGCATGAGGGTATGAATGTTGCATTGTTTATAAAGGTCAGGAGCTGAACAAAAAGTGAATGCCCAGCAATGGGAAAATGGCTTAATAAGTTGTGGAATATACACAATATGGAATAGTGCTCAGACATTGGAAAGAGTGTTTTAGGATTCTGCTGGATGACTTGAAAGATTTCAAAGTTAAGTAAGAAAATAAAAATGCAGCAAGATGTGTATATATTATGGTCATATTTATAAAACAAGCAATAGGTCAGAAAACCTTATAAATGTATATATACTTAGATAAAAGTCTGTGTAAGAATGCATGAGTGTGGGGAAAAATATAAAATGATTCTTACTAGGTTAAAGTTAGTTGGCTGAGAATGGCAGGGGTGGGCAAGTATAAGGGGATGATAATAAGATGCAGAAGATTAGAAGTTGTCTCCAATGAAAGAGTATATGAGATGTGATTCTATTTAATGTATTAAATATGTTTTCATAAGGATATATTGGCAGTAGGGTGCTGTGATTTTGGATTTAATGGATTTCTTTTCTCTGTGTATGTGTCTGTATACATAGTATACATAAACATATACATATGTGTTTACATACATATGCATATGTATGTATACGTTCAAATTCTCTGCAAAATGTAATAGCTATTTCCATGAAGGGAGGCAGAGGCAGAAAAATCATTGGTTATATTTTAAACACGATTTAAAAAGCATTTCCTAAAAGAATCATATGTTCAATTTCACAATTAAACATAAGACTTGTGGTTAAAAATTACATGTAAAAGCCTGTAGTCAAATGGTTGCATATTCCAGAAAGTCCTCCTCCTTCTCATTAAATAACTGTAAACATGAAGACATGGTTTTTTAACCTTGATAACAGGAGTCTGCCTTATAATTTCAACCCTACTTGATACCTTTGCTTCACCAGGCTGGCCTCATTGGTGCCATTTATTTGCTATACGGACTCAGAATAAAAGCCAGGTCCCCATCTTGTCCAACACAGCCCTATAGGATCTACTCCCCTAACCCCCACCTCATTGCTCTCAACTCATCTTTCACCCCAGTTGACTCTTCCCATGCTACTCTGGCCTCCTTGCTCTTCCTCACACATCTCAGGATACTTCTGCCTCCAGAGCCTTTGCACTTACTGATCTCTCTCCTTGGAGCAATTTGCCCTCAGATATCCACATGGCATCCTTCCTCGTGTGCTTCAAGTCTTTGCTCAAGTGTCTCTTTCTCAATGAGCCTCCTCTGATCCTCTTATTTTAAATTGCGAGGTCTACTCCCCCATCCACCCTTAACACTCTCTAGCCTTCTTTCATGTTCTCTTTTCCTTCCTAGCACTTGCTACTTGCAACATACATTGCTCATTTATTTTGAAAATTGACTGTTCTCTCACTTGAATGTAACATTCGCTAGAGAAGTGATTATTTGTTTGCTGCTACAGTCTAGGTCTTAGAACAATACTTGACATGTTGTAGGTACTGATATTTTTAGATGAGTGAATGAGCTGGTGACAGGTGAAGAATGTTTGAGGCAGGTAAGATCAGCGGCAGAAAGACTAATCAGAATACTGTGTCAAGCCAAAGACAAAAGAACTTGCGCTCAGCCTTAGTCATTAGCTATGCATGTCTTCTGTTGTGAAATGATGGTGAAATTTGTTATTGTCTTTTTAGTTTAGTTTTGTTTTTAAGCTTTACTTTTAATTGACACATAACAATTATCTTTTAACTTCTCGTAAGTTTATCTTGATTCTTTAGGCAGATCAAAAGCTTTTTGAGAGTGGAGGCTTGATATCTTCGTATCTGCTTTTCCCACAGTGCCTGGCACTTATATGAAATATAAGGGACCAAACAAACGTACGATGCTTTATCAATGATCTGATATTACTGACTTTTACTTGACTCAGTGAATTTTAGACTGCATTTTATTTGATTAAGATCTTAGAAACTAATCTACGTTCTCATGCTGTTGTACTAAATAAAGTTAATTTTATTCCATTACAAAAGTAATATATATGCTCACTATAGAAAATTTGGAAACTAGAGAAAAGTTAAAAAGATGAAAAAGACTTTAGTTATATTACCCATTAAGAGCCTTTAGCATTGTAATGTGTTTCCTTTAAATATTTTTCCTAGATGGAGCTTTCTAACGTTATTATAATAATTGTATGTTTACATTTCCATTTTTGCATACTGCATTCCCCACTTTATTAGCACACACATTTTTCTTAGCTATAAACTTTTGGAAAGCATCATTTTAAACAAATTCATACTACATAATCATAGCTATACTATAGCTCACTTAGCATAACCGTTATTTGATATTTAGGCTATTGCCATTAACTTTTTTTTGAGAGATGGGATCTTGCGATATTGCCCAGGCTGGTCTTGAACTCCTGGCCTCAAGCAATACTCCTGCCTCACCCTTCCATTTCCCTCTTATTGTAAAGATCATTGGCTACTCTGTCAGACATAATTGCCTGTTGCTTATTAGTCTGGTCGTCTGCCCTTAAAACTTTGTGCTTCAGACTTATCTGTAAGATGAAGAGAATGAGAAAGGACTGAGAATATCAAGATGCATGAATAGGAGAAACACTGTTGAGCATTTAATAGGTGCTTAGTAAATATCAGATGGCCTAGAATTGAGACCTTTGGAAATCATGGGGTGTTGATAATCATCGTGGTGCTGTTTCCTGGTTGCAGACTGCACCTGATGCAGGTGGACTCAGTCCAGCGCTGGATGGAAGATCTGAAGCTCATGACCGAGTGCGAGTGCATGTGCGTCCTGCAGGCGAAGCCCATCAGCCTGGAAGAGGATGCACAGGGTGACCTTATCTTGGCAGGTGGCCCTGGCCCTGGAGACCCCCTGCAGCTGCTGCTTAAACGGGGTTGGGTCATCAGCACAGAGCTGCGCAGGATCGGGCAGAAGCTGGCCCAGGACCGCTGGGCACGGGTGCACAGCATGAGCGTGCGTCTGACCTGCCATGCCCGCTCCATGGTCAGCGAGTACAGTGCTGTCAGCAGGAACTCCTCGAAGGAAATGGGCCAGGTCAGCTACCCTGGGATAGGAGTGGGCGGGAACTGGAAGTCAGGATGCTTTAGAGAAGAGTGGGTTTGAATCATATATTGTCTGAACCGTTTTTGCTCCAGAGGCCTTTCTCCCCTTCCAGTAAAGGAGGAAAGAAAGAGAGTAGAACCTTTACCGAGTGCCTACTATGTGGTGGACATTGTGCTAGGTGTTTTTTAAAACATGTATCTCATTTAACTTGCACAACCTGTGAGGTAGGTGCCACTACTTTGAGAAGCTGTGCAGTGGTTAAATTTATTGACTTCAATGCCAGGTGGCTTGGGTTGAAATGTCAGCTCTGCTATGTGGACCTCGGCAAGTTGCTTAACTTCTCTGTGTCCCAGTTCCTTCATCCTAAAAGGTATAATAATATAATTTATTTTATAAAGTTGTTGTGAAGACTAGATTAATTGTTACATGCAAAACACTTAAAGCAATTGATTAAAAATGTTAGTATTACCTTTATTTTATAGAGGAAACAAGAGTTCTAGGAGGCCAAATAATTTATTTAAAGTTACACAGTGAATGGTATAATAAGTAGGGTCCAATCTAAGTTTTTCTGATTTCACAGCCCATGACTTTCAATCTTCTTCTCAAAGCCCAAAGTGAACCATTAAAAATCTCCCTTGTTATTAATTCTCTCTTTTGTCATTCTCATTTCACCTTAGTGCTTTCCCCTTTGCCTCAAACTTTCTCTTACTCAGCTTTGCAGGCATTAAAACTTCTCTTCATTCTTCAAAGCCCAGCTTAAATGCCCCTTCTTTCCTGAAGCTTCCCAGCTTCCTCAGCATAAATAATTGCTCAGTTTCATATTCTTATACTCCCGAAGCAGCCTACCCTGATCTCTTTCGCCACCTGTATCACACTGTGTTATATTTTAAGTGCCTGTTCCCCAAGTCACATTACTTGATTCTTCATTTTTAATGCCCCTGAGTGCTCAGCATAGCAGTTGGTCCTCAGTTAATGCTTACTGAGTTGAATAAAATGGACTTATTTTTCTACAGATTGAGAAACTGCTAATGGAGAAATGCTCAGAGCTCTCGGCAGTCACAGAGAGGTAAATTTGGACCCTGAATCTCCAAGGGTCTGCCCGCCCGACTTCTGGCAGGAGAAGGGGCTGGTAGCTTCTCCCAGAGGGAGAATGGGAATGGGAGGCCTGGTGGTGGTTTCAGAGTTTTCTTTTTCTGACTTTTGTCAGAAATCTTAAAATATTCTCTTGAAATCTTCTGCCCCATATTCAGGACCGAGGGATAGGGTAAAAGGCGGAGGAGAGACCTGGGCATAGAAAAAAAGAGGATTTTCTAGGAGTTGGTAACAAGGAAAAGGTTTTCCATGGCTTTGGGAAGACCCACAGGTCCCCAAAGTCAAGGCAAGGTGAAAGCAGATACTCACACCCTTACACAGACATACACATAGACTTCAATGCCCACAGACACTCACTTTCTCATACACAGATATATAAACACATGCTTGGACCAGCACAGAAATACACTCACACTCTCTCCTCCATATTTCACACACATAAATATCCATATGTTTATACTCAGATATGTACACAAACTCAGCCTCACATGTATGCACACCCAGGTGTGTGTTGACATTTTTCTTCACCCTTCCCAGAGCCTGTATCCTGAAGATAAAACCTGAGCTCCCTGAGGTCTTTTGCTTTCCTGGGTGGAACACTGTCAGGCCACAGGGGTAAATTTGAACCTGATCGTCCTCTGTTTTTCTTGTCTGGGAAGAAAATTCTCAAGACTTTCTGCACACTCTAGGCAGCCATTTCTTAAAGGGCCACAGGCATTGCCATCCACCTTTACAGTGCTCACTAGCAATACCTGGCACTTGGCACCTCCCTTTGAAGCTTTTTGCCCCTCCATCTCCCACCCCCACATCACAGACAAGATAGACCCTGGCTGCAGTGATGGCAGATTCTGCAGGGAGAAGCCCAGAGGTATACATTTTCCACATTCTGATGGCCTTTCTTCCTGGTAATGTGGACTGGTAGTCCTCATCTCAGGCCAGCACATCTCTGCACACTAAGAGACCAGGCGGCGAGCCAGCTGTGGAATATTCTATCTCTGACTCCCAGTTGCCGATGTCTTCACCACACACCAGGCTTGGAGCAGGTCCAGCTCTGGACCCTGCAACATTTCTGGGCTGACCACATGCCCCTTCCATTAGCCCACTCCATGGTTTCTTCTCTTCAGGTGCCTTCAGGTTGAGAATGAGCATGTCCTGAAGTCAATGAAGGCCTGCGTGAGTGAGACCCTGAGCATGCTGGGCCAGCACTTTGGCCAGCTGCTGGAGCTGGCCCTGACACGGGAGGTTCAGGTCAGTGCAGGCTGGGCTGTGGGGAGGGGTGCTTGTGTGGACCCTTGGAGGAAAGGAGAGAAAGAGGGGCTGAGTCAGGCTTGGGGAAGATACTGATGTGGACTTTAGTGGGAAACATCCTACTCAAACCACCGAAGTCAACTCCAGTGTTTGTGAATCAAAACTGTCAGTAAGCTAAGGCTTCCCAAGCACCTAACCCAACTCTGCATTTTCCAGCTGTGAAAACTGGAGCCCAGAGTGGGGAGAAGCTTATCCAAGGTCACACAGCAAGATGGTGGAAGAGCCCAGCATCTCCCAATTACACTTTCAGTATTACTCCCACCACCCTCAATCTTCTCTGTTGAGTTAATGTTCACAGTGTACCCAATGGGTCCTTACTATCCTGAAAGAATTGAGGCACCTGCAGGGAATAAGCCAATTCTAGAAATCCTGGCAAGAAGAATCTAGAAAGATCACATAGTCTAACCCCTGCCTCTAGGCAGGCTTGTACTTGATTCCAGAAAGAGGGAGGGATTTGGAGCCTGAAGCATCTACTTTCAAACTGTGGTTCACCGTGGAGCCTTGGTTAAGTTCCTGAACCTCTCTCAGCCTCTTTTTCCTCCTGTATAAATTGTTAAACCTTCTCCAGAAGAAAATTTTGAGAACTAAGCAAAGGCATATGGAAGGTGTTTAGCACATAGTGTGGGTTAAATACATGTTATTTCCCTCCCTTGCCCTTTGCTATTTTAAAAACCTCCCAGTAAAGCAGATTCCATAAGGTTTTCATTATGAAAGGTATTTATGGTTATTTATAGTTACAGAAATATTGTGTTACATATTTGCCATTCTTTTCCCACCACCAAATAAAAGCCTACCACAAATAACATCTCTTTCCATGTCGGCTCCTCTCCAAATTCAGCCTCTCTGCTGAGCCCAGGGTTTGCTTTCTCTCCTTCCTGAGTGTGGCTGGTTTGGCGCAGGCCCTTCTGGCTTGACTCACATGCTGGTCCTGCCTCATCCCCACTCCTTCCACAGGCCCCCATGTCAGGGCAGCTGGCCCTGAGTATTATCACCCCCCCACCCCAACCACAGGAAGGTCCTCAAGGGCCACTCTCCATGTCTTGACAGGGACAAAGGGAAGGAAGGGCCACAGGCTGGGGTGCTGGGGCAGGCACCTGGAGCTGATGAGCCGGTGCTGACAGTCACATGCAGGGGCAGGCAGTGATCAACCATCAAGTCCAGAAGGACGCAAGGGACACAGGGACCAAAATGGGCAAAAAGGTCGAGGGAGTGACGAGCAAGAAATATTGGAGTTAGTGGTGGGGAGGGAGGCCTGGAGCAACTTCTGAGCAGGGGTACAGGTGCTGGCTGTTGCTTTTCATGCCATTTTTGTGCCCACTTTCCTGGAAGTGCCAGGTTCAATTAAAAGAGCTGAAAAGGGCCGGGCGCGGTGGCTCACGCCTGTAATCCCAGCACTTTGGGAGGCTGAGGCGGGCGGATCACGAGGTCAGGAGTCAAGACCATCCTGGCTAACATGGTGAAGCCCCCTCTCTACTGAAAATACAAAAAACATTAGCTGGGCATGGTGGCGGGCACCTGTAGTCCCAGCTACTCAGGAGGCTGAGGCAGGAGAATTGTGTGAACCTGGGAGGCGGGGGAGGCGAAGCTTGCAGCGAGCCGAGATCATACCACTGTACTCCAGCCTGGGTGACAAAGGGAGACTCATCTCAAAAAAACAAACAAAACAAACAGACAAAAAGGCGGTGTTAAGCTGAACCGTCAATGAAAGCCAGCTGGGTTTGGAACTAGTCATCAGTGTTTTCTATGAGGCAGCGAAGAGGCAGGATACCTTTGATGCTATAGGTCAGAAGAGCCTGGGAAAAGCTCCCTGGGCTTGCTTGGAGCCTACTTCCCTGGCCTTTGGGCTGTATAGTTGGATCCATTCTGCTATTCCTTCATTCTGACCATATTCAGGGTGAAATTCCTGATCTGGTGCTTCTACTTCCCCAGCTGTCCCCTGCTCTAATGCCAGGTCTGACCACCTGGTTCATTGATGCCTGGCCTGGAAGCTGAGAAGACCAGCTCCTGCTTTGTTAGAATGGGTTCCTTATTGGTCTTCCACCCCGGTAGGAGTAGGGGAGTGGGGTGTGTAGCCACAGAGTGTTGTCCTCCATTCATCTGCATATTAGTTTTCTTTCTGATAACCCCCTTTCCTGGTGCTTTCCCCCTTCCCTGCCAGCGTGTCCCATGTCCCTCTTAAGGGCTGAGTCTACCATGCTTATAATATATTTTTGGCTGATCTTTGGCTTCTTTTTACATTAGAAAGTTTCCATACAGGACAGCAGTGACATCAGGAGATATATTGGCTGAAGACAGGGTAATTTGTGTTCAGTGTTGTAAGCATGTGTTTCTTAAACTAGTGACTCAAATATTGTTCCTTAGGATGTTAGTAATTATACCAGGATCTTACATTTGTACTGTCTTGATGTAAATGAAATCAAATCTATTTCTTTACATCAAAATTTGTCTTATGATGTGCCATTCTGCTTTGCAAATCTTCCAGAAGGTCCTCACGCACTTATAGTATTTCTTGTCTGACCTGCAGCTTCCATAGGCAGGGATTTTGGTTTGTTTTGCTCATTCATGTATCTCTAATGACTAGAACAGTATCTGTTATAGAATGTTAAGCAATATATTCCCAACTTTCAGGCTCACAGGTTTAAAAAATATTATTAAAACATCTATTTACTTCTTCTGAGATGCGGGTGTTTTAGGAAATGCAATTCAGGAAACATTCTTTTAGCACTAAGAAGTCATGTGGGTTCAAGCAGAGGAACAAATCTCCCCACCCCCTTCACCCCAGACTTAAGAGTTCTTTGTACCCCTTCAATTATGGTTGGGAAAGACTGGTACAAATTGAGAAGCCCTGAAGGAACCTCCCACTGTTGTACAGACAGCCTGGACTACAGCTACTGAAGGAAACCCAGCTCCCCACACACTGGAATGAGGCCCTCCTTGCTGAGATGAACAAAGTATGAAAATTGAAGCGATTGTATCAACCTAAGAATCTGGGACTTTTGATTATTCCTAGAGGAAAAGAATTTAAGGTTTTTCTTTTACTTTATTTTTTCCCAGGGAACTTTAAAACTTTAAAATAGGAGCATATTAAAATTTTGGAAATATTTATGTTTGTCATCTGACAAGTATGTTTGGATTATCTTAGTATTGCCATTTAATCTCATTGCAGCTTCTACTTACCTATATTGGGCAACATGGCTGAGCAAAAGCTGCTCAGTGGGAGAGTGGGAAATATAATAGGAAGCAAATTTCAATCCTTTTACTTTTGGAATAATCCAAAGTCCCAAATTCTTAGGTTAGTACAATCTCTTCAATTTTTATACTCTGTTCATCTCAGCCAGGAGGACCTCTTTCCGGTGTGTGGGGAGTTAAGTTTCCTTCAGTAGCTGTAGTCCAGGCTGTGTCTTCAATAATGGGTGGGGTTCCTTCAGGACTTCTCAATTTGTACTAGTCTTTCCCAACCATAATTAAAAGGGTTCAAAAAGCCCTTAATACTGGATACATAATACTATCACAGCACTACACATATATTCTCAGAAAGTTAAAATAAGCCAATCCTCAATTTCTATAGAACTCCAGGAACTTCAGGCAACCTGCTGTCCCAGGATGCCATCCTTAGGGTTGCCAAAGGCCTTAACAGATACATGTTCATCTATAGCCAATAAAAAAAAAAAAAGATGGGTGACTGAGACGGTCTGGCTGGCAGCCTTGGTAGGATGTCAGTCAGTTTATTTCAGTCTAAAGATTTGTGAACATACACCCACTGGGGGAAAAAAGTCCACTACAGGTTAATTGTGGTACTATGTTTACCATATATGGGGGGAAAGAATGCCTCCTTTCTCATTGATGGGCATTTGAACCGTTTCCTTTTCCTGCAAAGTCAGGCATTTGCAGCTTCTTTACTAGGACTTGCTTGATTTGCATTCTTTCCCATTCAGCATATTCAAAACATCTTAATTTCTAGCTCCCTGAAAACACTGTTTCTGCCACTCCAGCATGCATTGATTTGGGCTTCCTGAAGTGACAGACCAGTAGTCTTCAAACCATTTCAAATGCACTGCATTCCCCAGGTTCCTAAAGATTTCCCAGGAGAAATGCAAGCACATATAGTTTTAAGGAAATCTTATTTCCAGATCTTCAATTTTCATTTGTTTTCTTTCTTAAAAATGATCTTCCCAATAATATACTGAGTTTTTTATAGGCTTTTTATTATTTTCCAAAAGGCATACTCTTTACCCATCCCAAATTTTACAGTATATTGCCTTGCCATGCAAAAATCTTGGTATGGGAGTGGAGAATCAAGCAAAGAAAAAGCCTTCATTCATGAACCATTAAGACCCTTAGGCTTCCATTAACTATTTCCATGCTTTATACATATTTATGTTGAATGTGCCATTAGAAATTGTGTATTTTGGCCGGGTGTGGTGACTCATGCCTGTAATCCCAGCATTTTGGGAGGCCTGAGGTCGGGAGTTCGAGACCAGCCTGACCAACATAAAGAAACCCTGTCTCTACTAAAAATATAAAAAAATTAACCAGGCATGGTGGCATATGCTTGTAATCCCAGCTACTAGGGAGGCTGAGGCAGGAGAATTGGTTGAACTCGGGAGGTGGAGGTTGCCACAAGCCAAGATTGTGCCATTGTACTCCAGCCTGGGCAACAAGAGCAAAACACCATCTCAAAAAAAAAAAAAAAAAAAAAAAAAAAAATTGTGTATTTTTCCCAGTGTGAGCAGTTTCTCAATTCAGATATATTGTTGTGTGTGTGTGTGTGTGTGTGTGTGTGTGTGTGTGTGTGTGTGTGTATGTGTGTGGTTGGAGGGATGATTATAAAAGTTTTCAATTTATTTTATCCCTTCCATCTGTTTATTCTCAAATAGTGCATGGTTCTTGAGGGACATTCTCCTTAAACCAAAGCAAAGAAAACACTGGTAGGATACATC